ACTAAGCAGTGTTGTATATATAGTTTAAAAGGTGCCCTGTCACTGAAGTCACATTACATCACCCCACTGAAAATAGATACGCCTTGTTCACTCAGCTCTGTGCTGATTTCTAATGAGGAGGTGAACTCTGTTGATGAAAGTCTCTCTAGAATTTCTGGTCGAATAGTAGGGAGTAACATCTCTCCTCATTTTCTAGGAGGAGCACTTGGTGGACTGCTTGGTGCCTGGATGACCAGTGGACAGTTCAAGCCAGTCCCTCAGATTTTAATGGAGTTGCCTCCTGCGGAGCAGCAGAAACTCTTCAATGAAGCCGTCGCAATAGTCAGGAACATAGACTGGATTGATGTTTTTCAGCTGACTGTACTTGTAATGGGAAGTGGTGACCTTAAGTTTCTGCTGGCAAAAGCAGTGGAAAGGTTCTTAGTCAGAGAGCTAAATGCACAGATAAAGTATGAAGAATAAACCTTTTGGGGCCTGGTTTCTAGATTTTGTTGAATTTTACTTTGACAACTGTGATTCTCTGATGTAGCAATTATTTGGATTAGGATTGTCATTGTAGCTTTCATTTCTCAGCTGATTCTGAATATTCTGTTTTCATTTAAAAAAAAATGCTAAAAAGCATCACAATGGTCTCTGTTTTGTTTTAGAGAAAAGGAATTGATTGAAGAAGTGGGCACTTAGTATCTCAGCCAATTTTTCACTCTTTATTTCAAGGCAATGAGGAAACTATTTATTAGGTTTGATTACACAGTCCTTCTTGGGTGGAGGCATGTACCTATTTTCAGAATGGTAGCAACATGTTTGAGACAAGGTTTGCACACTGTTTTGAAACTGTTGAGTGCAGCCCTCTTCTATTGTGTTAAGATCACCACAATTTTTGCCTTTTAGGTTTATCAGAGGATTTGGGCATTAAATAACTGTTCAGCAGATTTGATCGTAAAGAACTGCTCAAGAATGCATTAATATCCCTCTGTTACTCTTCTTTGGGACCAATGTGGCTGTCTGCCACTGTATCCCATGGTACTGGAAACAGCTACAGGCAGGGGAGAGTATCTAGTGAAATCCATCCAGTTGCAGTGTCCAGGTTAAGTATGAGATAGAGCCATCACCTAGGAAACAAGGTAAAGCAGTGCCAGCAGTTTTAGGAAGCAACTAGAATTGTGGCTATGGGGAGATGTACAAACTTATATAAATAATCCATCTGTGATGGATTTTATTATTAATTTTGTTCGGTTGTAGATGTGAAGATGTGAAAAATCAAGCTAGATTTTCACTGGCAGGTAGTGTATTTTTAGATATTTTTTTTCCTAACTGTCTGGTTTAAAAATGGAAAGCAAACATGATTATAAATAGGTATGTTAGCATAGAGAGACTATTTTTATTTACTTGCTTTATTATTTAATGGCAACCCAGAATTCCAACATAGATTAGTAATTGAGATCTGCCATCTAGTGGCAAGTAGATTAATTCTTAAATTCAGCCTATCAGGGCTGCCTCTGTGGATAACACAGCTGTGTTTTTCTGTGAAAAGTTGGGGTAAATGAAATTGTATTAGATTACAAATATCAATCCACCTATAACTAGCACTCATGCGCACTCATTTGCATTCCCCTGCAAAGAGGCTTTTTTAAATGATCATTATCATAATTGGGCTGTGACTGCACAAATTTTTGCTGCAGCTGCATGACAGTTTTCACTGTGGGAGAAAATATGTAGTCAGGAGAAGGAGGACAGTTTGTGTTTTTTGTTGTGGCAGCGTTCAGAGATTCGCACTGCAAGGCAAGTTTTTGCTATGAAATCCAAATAAGTTGCAAAACAATGTGGAGATACCAAAGGCTGATCTTGAGTTTACGGCTGGAAATGAGAACCTAGACAGCAATTTCAGTCTGCACACAAGGTAGAGCTATTTTGAACCTCAAACTTGAGGTTCTGCAGGGTATGTGCGTCCCCACACACGAGGGTCTGGTGGCTCTTAGCTCTGATTGTTTAGTTGCCATGTCAGCAATAACCTTTCACTCTGGTACGCAAAGTAACACAGATCAGCATCACGTTGGCAGTTTCCTGAGGACAGGTCCCTGTTCTTCCAGGATTGCACACCTGCAGCTGTGCAGGGCTTTGCAGGTGAAGGATAAGCACAAACCTGAGTCTCCATCTTTCTTTCAAACGCAACTTGTGAGCTGCTGACAGGAAGGAGGGCTGAATATCTGTCTGTGTAGGGTTTCTGACCTTCTGGAGGGAAAAATAGTGGCTGCATTTTCTCTAGATGCAAGGTCCTTCCCTGCCTGTGCTGTAATTACCTTCTCACTTTGAACAAAAGAGTGATTTGGAGAAGAGCTGTGCTGGTTGACTTAGGGCAGCTTAAGAAAGCTGATTAATCTGCTATGGCAATAATTTGCTGGATGATTTGATCAGTATTTCAGCTCCCCAGTGAGATGCTTCAAGGTGAGATGGCAGTGACAATACCAAGCTCCTGGTGGAGGGCTGTGAGACATGACAATTACCTACAGAAAAAATGGGGTGTGATAGTATCAGCACTGAGTTATTATTTATTATTATTTGACTATTTCTTACCATGTTTGCAATTTCTCTAGTGGTGTGATACCATCTACCATAGTCTGATTATAGGCCACTGTGCTCTAGCAGAACTGCATTTCCCTTTTACAGTTTACACTCCAGTGCTCCTTCCATATGTGCTTCAGTGCATCATGACATGGGTGAGTTGGAATGGCTGCTTTCTCCTACTCCTGATAACACCCATCTCTTTCTTAGGGAGGAAAGCTCATGCTCCAGAGGACTCAGGTGTGCTAGGTTAGCTCTTCTTTGGAAGAGACATTCTATTAAATACATATGATATAAAAAGCTACTGAGTTTGTATTTCAGATAACAGCTATTTGGTGACTAAACATCATGACTGTCTAGGTGATGATGGTTAATATGTCTTTTCTCCTTTTTAGTTGGTGTATAGGAAATCTGTTACGAAACTCAGAGAAAGATCTTGTGGAAGGGAATGGTGATTGTATTATTCAAAGTCACTAAGCAAATTGATTTTAGACAGTCATACTCTCATGACAAATCTGTTCAAATGATCTGACTGGGATTGCTTGCATTTAACATGAAGGATAAGTCAAATCCTCACTTCATCTCTTGGATTCTTCTTGATTGCCCAAAAATGAATTATTTTTTTAAAATCCCTTAGAATATCTTTGACAGTAATTCACTGTTGTCTTTCTGTAAGCTTTTCTGCAACCCGTTAGTCTGAGGGGCTAAAAGCAGAAGGAATGGCATGTGTGATTTGCTATAACCTCTGCTATTGTCCTTGTGTCACAATGCAGTGTTTCCTGTGAACAAGATGCTTGTGCTGTGGTCTTATCAGAGAAGGGTCTTCTGTTGGGCTCAGTAGGAACAGCACATTCCTCAACTTGATGAAATGGGATCCCTCATTATCAATGTAGGCTTCTTTTTTGATTATTGTTTTGGTGCTTTCACATACCTATTTCCAGCCATATATAATGTATACCAATTTAAATAATTTAGTCAAAAATTATGCCATTTCATTTAGAATTTTTTTTCTTTCTTTCCATTTTTTGTATTGCAGCAGATTCAGTAGCAATAACTAGTGAAATATGGGCAGATCTGTGGGGTTTATGCTACACAGATGCAGGGTAGGACTCATTAAATTCTGTCTGTACTAGCAGGATAGAAGCAACAGCACAGCCAGATGGTGACTACTGGTAATATAAAAGCAATGCATTTTTGCCCCAGAGTAAAAGATCTTATAGAGAAAGCAATAGCTTCTTAGGCTGTCATTGCTTGGCCAGTTGATGAATATTACTCAAGGCTAATTGAATAGCAGACCTTCATCAGAGTTGGAAAGCTTTAAAAAAAAAAAAAAGTCTTCCTACTGCAGTGAACTGAAGCTATTAGCCCCTAATTAACACATGGGGTTTCATCTTTACCTTTCTAGAGATCACAGAAATCTATGTATTTTTCAGGCTGCAAGCCAGAAATCAAACATTCATTACATAATTGCAGTAAGTCTGAGCTAATACTTCTCATTAAGTATGATTTATGAATTCCAAAAGAGCCTAAGAGATAAATACATAAAAATTATTCTGAAGTCTGCAAAAATGAAAGCATTCATTTCTCTGGATGATTGTGCAGCAAGAATGATTTAGGCAAACATGAACATTTGGTAAGGACATGGCATTTAAATATCTGTACTTTTGTGATGCTCTCAAAGTGGTGTGATTTCATCTAATTTTGCTGCTGATCTTTCAGCAAAGATGATGTTCTGCCCAGAGAATCAACCAGTGCAGGCAGAATCAGTCTCCCACGGATCAACATTCCCTTGGAGCTGCAGGAGATGGGCATCTGCCATGATGCAGTTTGTGAGCCTGTGGATAAACCTATTTTGGTTTTACAATTACAGGTAAGCACATTTTTCCGATATTTGTGTGTATTTTCTTCTTAAATTGTTCTCACTCAGCTGACTGTGCCGGTGTACAGTAACACTGAGGAAAATATTTCTCGCATCTCTGATACTGATGGAAGTTTTCTGCATGAAGACAAGCATCCTTTGAGTTTAGACTTCTGTTTCAAGCTCTAAGAATCTTTAGGCCAAAATTAGAGGGGATCTGATTTTTCTTCCTTGCCCTTCCAGGTTAATTTTAAGCCCACCAGTAACAGATTTTCCAAAGTCATAAACTGAAGACTTGCTCCCTACAGAGCAGTGAAGACAAGATGCAACAGCTGAATGTGGTAGTTGGGCTTGGGACAGATGGCGTGCAAGAGCAAATGCTCCAGGTTAGTTCAGAAGGGAGGGGACTGGACAAAACTGTTTAGCAAATATTGTGTTAGAACTAAAGACTTGATGAAGTATCCATAGGAATGCCAAAGTAGAGCATATTTTTTACCAAGCTGCAGTTTATTAATTGCTTGTGCAGGAGCAAAATCTGTAATAAAATACTAAAGAGGGAGATGGTAAAGCAGGGCCTTGAATCTGTTTTTGTTGGTTTCCATAAAAGGGGCTTGCTTGCTTTTTCCTGGCATTCTCTCCAAGAATTTATATAGAAAATATTTTTTCCATAACCGCAGTGAACAGCCTTCAATTGCCTGGCAGCCGTTTGCATATTTTAGGCTTCCTTCCCTCTCTGAAGTTTAACTCTGCAGGAGCTTGTGCTGCTGCCAACTTGGATCTTTCTTTTGGTCTTTTGTGTCCCTAGCCCAGGTTCTGTGGAACTTGGACTGCTGAAAGTGGCTGCAGCATGTCTCACTTGAGTAAAGGGCAAAGAAGAGCCTCAGTATTGTAGTGCTAATGATAAGTAGCAATGAGGATAAAATGGAGTGCTCCTGTAGCTCTTTACATCTTCAGAGTGCTCCACTGATATTAGTTAATCTGCCAAAATAGCCTTGTGACAAAGCCTTGTGTTTGTATTATATGTGATTTAACTCTTCTATATTGTTCTGCAATAAAACAAAACTGGATGCTTCTTCAGATAAAAATCAGGAAATCAGTTAACCAACCTCAACAATTAAGGTGAACTTCAAAGCCGTCTCGCTTCTTTTGGTTAGCTTTAGCACACCTTTGGGAACCTCAAGTATTTGTGCAAAGCAGCATCGTGTCAAGCATTCAACAGTGGCCTCAGTGTTATGCAATAGTTTGTTTCCATTTGCATACACCAATGTATATGGCTTCCGCCATTTCTTAACCCAATGCAGGGATGTTGTCCTCGTGCCACTGGAACCAAAGTTAAACCTGGGCACTGTGCTGGTCTTAATCAAAGAGCCCCAGTTTGTGTGCTGCTGGTGCCCTGCTGTCCTTATTATCGTATGTGTACCCTGCCACAGCAGAAAACAAAGTCATGCTGTGTGTAGGTGCAGTGCCGGCATGTCAAGGAAGAACACGTAAGCTCTGTTACAACTGCAGGATTTCAATGCCTTTCTGTGCAGTTAAGTCATCTGCTCCCAGTACTCCAGTGTCTGCTGTCTTCTGTCTGCATCTACTGCTAGCTTGAACTTGAGCAAGTCATCAGTAGAAAGGTGGATATTGCCTAGTATTGAAAAACACCCACAGAAGAAAGATCACCCTAAATATATAGTCCTAATGCTGAGCTCTGAAAGACCTATTTCCTCTCAGGAAAGGGTTTGAGGTCTCTGTGGACAGATTTCTGAAAATACAAGCTCAATGCTGTATTTTCAGCAGATCAGAAAACAAATAGAAGGGTTGGAATGGACCAAGAAGGAAACCAAGGACAAAGCAGTTAACTTGCTATGTCACTGAATGGATCCAGTTTACAACCACATCTTGAGTCTGCTTGTCCCATTCTCATCAGTCCTTTTTGAGCCCAAGAGAGCAATTGTAGAGCTAGAAAAGATTCAGAGGATGATGTGGTATGGAGGTGCATCTATATAAAAAGGGACTGATTACTTGAAAATAGTTGAACCTGGAAAAGATACCAATGCAGGGAACTTTAGTGAAGGCTATGAATGGCACACAGAAGAACAAAAGAGCAATAACATTGCATAAAAGTCAGGGTGTACCTATTGAAACAATTGAGGTAAAAGGAAGTGCTTTTTCACAGTGTTAAAAGTGAATTGTGGAGCAAATTGGCACAGGATGTTCTGGATGCCAAAACAGAAATGTGTTCAAAAAGTGATTAGGCAGATTAATGGTAGAGAGGGCCAGCAAGGACTATTAAACACATTAGCCCAGAATCAGCCGCTGGTTTGCAAGAGACTGAAAGAGAGAAATATCAGTCTATGGATGCTTGTTACACTTTCCCTAGCAATTTTCAGGTAGGTGACTTGTGGCTCTGGTTTATTAAGGCTACTTATATGTGTTATGCCAAACACAGTCTAATACAATTCCCGTAGTGTTATGCCAACATATGTGCTGCTGCAAATAAAACATGACATATGTGCTGCCAAAGCAATCACATTCTGAAAACAGTGCAGCACGCTTCACATGTGTGAATGGAATCTTTTTCCTTTAAGAGGGGAAGACCTGCCCGCTTGCCTTTGTGCATGTTATCCCTTCTCAGGAGTGGAGCCTTCCTCCCTGAAAATTTCCAGTGTGTAAATAAGCACTTAAGCAAACCAGAGGAAAACTTGACCTCTCGGTTGGTTGCAACCGGATATTTCATTTTCTCAACATTACAATATCAACTTAAGAATTAATCCAAAATGTTTTTATTCTTTGCACCAATAAGAAAATGCATCCGTGGCACAAGAATCTAAAAACAGACAATATTTATCAAGAAACAAAGCTCATTCATACTCGGGTTCAGTAGAAGTTACATTAAAATACTGTCATGCCATTGTTCTGTTCTGCAGAAGGGAAAGTGGTTCTACTCAGAGAGATTGCATGAGCCCTACACAGATGGAACAGTCCTGCACTTCTTTTTGAATGTTTAACTGCTGTCACAAGACTGAAGTTGATTTAAGTGCTGTCTTGTTATTCTTCCCGAAACTGTAGCAAACTGTCAGTTTGCAGATACAAATGCGTGAGGTTTGTTCAGTTCCAGCATTCTGCCAGATGCTAGCTTCCTAGAGCACAGTGTATTCTCCACATTCCAGCACACATTCCAGGGGTTGTAGCTGTGCAGAGTTTGGCTCCAGGAAAGTTCAGTCTCCAAAACACAAGGGAGAAATTCTGCTGGGGAGTGGGAGGCAGAAAGTTCAAGTGCTGCTGGGCGGGAGGCAGAGCTTTACTGGAGGTGGATCAGTCTGGTCTGGTCGAAACAGCTGCTATGACCACATCTGGCTCTTGAACTGCCTTTGGAAGCCTGTCTTATGGGAGCTCTGTGGCTCACGCTCACTTTAATGACTAGATTCTCTGCTTGCTTCCAAGACAGGTCTCCTCCCCATCTCCCACGTGGAAGAGGAGCTGCAGTCCTCATGGGCTCCCTGCATGGTTCGTGAATTTCCCAGATGATTCTCCAGAGTGGTGAGGATGCTGAAACTGGGGAAGTTGTGTTGAGGATTAACCCTTTTTTACCAGGATCTGTTTCTAAATTGTAATGTGTAAAATAACAAGCATGTGTTTTAGAATTGCTGCTGTGATACAGTCGTGTGCTAGATTTTGGTTATTGCGTTCCCTGAGGAGAGAAAGAGAACGTCAGCTAAAATGTTGAATGCTCTGTTAGTGATTGCTAGCATGCTTCAAAAGCTGAAGCTCATGGAAGGAGTGGGTTTTCAGCAACAGGGCCACACTATGCAAGACTGCCCTGCTCTGATGGTTACACTAGCTGTTACAAATCCCGCTCTAATGAGGGTAACATGCCTACGGAATATAAATAGAATAAACCTGCTGTGCTCACATATTAGAAGCCTGTAACTCAGTGGCTCTGCCTTATACGTGAGTTATGTAAATGCCATTTTGGAAATCGTCGCCTCACTTCTGTCTGCTCCGTGACAGGAAGCAAACTCCATGGGTGTGTTGGAGTCCTGCAGGCTTCCTGCTCCCATCTGGCTTCATGGACTGGGCTCTTGCTATAAGATTTTGCATCTCTCTTTGTACCTCCTGCTTTGTCTTTATTGCGAGGGAGCAATGTGAAATATGATAAATATTTGCTCTCTACAAATGAGGGCAAGTAATAAGCAGATATAGAAGCTCTATGATTTGGTGGGAGTATTTGTAACAAAGCTGGGGCTATGAAACTGGCATTTCTAGTGTCTGCTTTGAACCAATTTTATTCCACTGTGGAACAAAGAATTCATTTTTTTCTGTTGAAAAGATGGCAATATTAGGAAAATCCATGCTGTACATTTACTGATAGCGTTGTTCTATCATAGCATTAACTGCTGTATTATAGCAGCAGAGGTACTTCTGAAGTTTTGAAACAGCAAAGTGTGACAGCCTCTATCTGTCACCCTTCACTAATCAACACTGTAGCTCTTTACCATCTGGGTTTTGGAGAATCTCTCATCATTAAGGCTCCATCCTTGCAAACAGATGGCCACATTGTGTGATGTCCCTGCTGAAGTGCCTGCTGGGATCTATACAGACCCGTTGGGACAGATGCGTGGGTTTGCTCAGCCTGCTGGCATGCACGTCTTGCACTTACATAGAAGGTGGTTCTAAGAGAAAGAACAAACATGGAGACTGCATGATACCTGTAGGCCAAGCCCTCCCCTGGCCACATCACCAGTGCCACTGACACTGGCTGGGGTTGGGGATGAACGAGCAAAGACCTGCAGGCTGAGAAAGCCATCATCTGTGAAGTCTAGCTGGGCTGCTTGGTTTCTAGAGGCTGGTCAGTAAACAAGATTGTTTGAGCACATTTTGAAGTGCTAGAAACTGGTTTATCTGAAACCTGCTGCTGAGTAAACATTCTTCAAGACAGAAACTCTGATGAAAACAAAATAGTGACTTGGGTGCAGCGAGCTGGGCACTGGTTGTTCTGGTGTGTGTTTCTGTGTTGCCAGCTTGCACTGCAGTATCCAAGCCATTCAGGTGGTCTGGACAGTCGCTGGGTGCTGCTGTCAGTGGTGCTCAGGCAGCTGGGGCAGCGTGTCACATATGGCCTGTTACTGCTGGGCCTGGCAGTAAGCAGGCTCTGGCAGCTCGCACTCAACCCAGCTGATCTCAGCCAGGCTGCCGCGCTCCGTGTGCCTGAAGGCAGGCTGTGGGGATGTGCCATGAAGATGGTCCCTCTGTGGGCTTTCATGGGAGAAGGAACAGATCTGCTGAAAGGCCGTGGTGCCACTCTTATTTTCCATCTGGTATCTCTGGAGGAGCCTTCATGTATGAAACAACTAAGGCATCTGCTTTTACCTTATATGCTGCATCTATGATAAAAGCCACGTGTGACCTTTTCTTCTTCTGTTAGAGGAAGAGGCCCATCTGGCCTTGAGTTAATGCTTTTCCTTTCTCAAATCCTGTTTTTCTAAGTGTCTCACCAAAACACTCAGATTGTCTTTAGGACAAATATCTAGAGACCAAGTCTGCTCTGATGAAATAGGTACAAAAGCTTCCCTCAATGCCCAGCGTCCACACACAGCTGGCACCAGCAGCACTGTGCCCATTGCCCAGCCCAGCCCTGGGCTGCACAGAAGTGTTGTGAGAGCTCTGGCTGATGGAACAGCGACAGGGAGATTGTGTAACATGCCCTGGGCTGTGAGAGTCGGAGAGGTTAACAGAGAACCTGCTTATGGTTTATTGTCACTGCCAGGTCTTGCTGGAAAGGAAGCCCAGCACCGCCTTCAAAGGGAGCTGCTCAGTGCTACGGCATGTTTGGTAACCATTTCCCTGCATGCCTCTCCTTCAGCTGCTGCCTCAAGAACGCAGCACTGAGTGCTGCTCTGAGGTTTTATGAGCAAGTGCAGAGGCAGTAAAGGCTCTTTCTCATACAGTGTGCTGCACCATGATTTGTGTGTGTGGTGTATGGTGTAGAGCAGCCCTGGCTGTTTGCTGCACCCCTGGTGAAGAACGTTTCTGGGAGAGCCCCTCCAGTGTTTCTATCTGGGGTGGCTGGGCAAGAGTTTCTTGGAGTTACTTTCTGATACTGTGTCTACAGTGGAAATAACAGTAAGCATAGAGTGGCTTGGAGAGGCTTGGAGCAGAAACAGCCAGAAGTAGGAGCCTCTGTTTTTAGTTTGAGACGTGTCTCTTTAAAGCTCTGCTGTGGTTGGGTCCATCTGTGCTTGTCATTCCTTTGTTAACCAAAAATCCCAAGCTGAGGAAAAACTGCTTTGCAGTTGTAGTGAGATGGAAGAGGCCCTGATGGAAGAGGGCTGTGGCAGAGCCAGAACTTCTGCCTGGGATAAAAACTATTTGAGTAACTTGGAACTGTGGAGCTGGCTCGCTTCACTGTGCTGCCTTCAGATGGCTGGACGTTGTGCTGAGTCAGCAGTGTGCTCCAGAGCTTGTGGTGTTCCTTGGCTGTGCCTCAGGCAGGAACACGCCTCTCCACCGAAACCCTTCCATCCTTTCTTTTCAGTTTACTCACAGATCACATTTCCCTGCTTTTATTCTGCTTTTGTGACTGGCTGCTGTGGCAGTGTCTCTTCTTCCTTCCCATGGATTGTGAAGGGCTAATGTGGATTTCATCACAGCAATGCCTTTATCTCCGTTTGCCTGTCACTGATGGAGAAACCCCAGCAGCTTCAGTAGGTCTGGTAACATTCCAGTTTTGTTTCTCTTGTTCTCTTGCAGCTTTGGGGACTGTCTTCTGACTCATGTGCCCAGCTGCAAAGCAGAGATTTTGCCGAGTGCCAAAAATCTCTTGCGTTTCTCTTACAGTGACTGGGTTCCAGATTCTGCTCAAAGGAACAGAAAGACCCAATTTCAGCCAGTTGGATTTCCTGAACCAGCCACCCCTGCTGGAATGGTCACACAGTGCTGCTGTGTTTGGGTCTCAACATCTTCAGGCAGGAACCTGTGCAAGGAAACCTTTCTGGCAACTAATCCCCACACATTGTGTTTGGGAGTCCTTTAGGGAGTGGCTGTGACTCCACAAACTCTCCTGCCTGCATGTTTTTTCCAAGTGAGCATTCAGACTGCTGCTCTTTCTGCTGTTTTTTTCAGATTTTAATGAGTCCTTGGCAGCAGAAGTACTGAGCAAAAAAAAAAAAAAAAAAAAAAGGAAGTGCCCCATTAATGCACTGCAGATAGAATCAGGCTGGGCTGGAAAACTCCAAGATTGACTGTAATAGCACTGACCATAATGTAAAACCCGTATGCTGAGGAGGCCAGATACCTCTCTGTATCTAAGGTCTTTCAGAAGCGTGATCTCCAACCTGTGGCAGCCCCAGACTTTCCAGGTCTCCCTGCCCATCAGCACCAGCACAGTCAGCATTTGCAGGAGCAGCTGCTGAGAAATGCCCTCAAGCTCTGTCTGCATGGCTGCAGCACTGAGAGCAGCACTGACTGTCTTGCAAGAATGGAAAACTGAGAAAGAATATGAAGGTACAGGAAGTCAGTGTGTCCGTCTGAAGTTTATGGAAGTGCAAGTGCCAGTGTGCACCTCGGGCCTAAAGCAGCAATCAGACTGATACTTGAAGTAGTGGTGCGTGTCTTGCCAGTTGTCCTTAGTCTCACGGGTGTCACAGCTTTTCTGTGCTTGACTGTTTTTCCATGCGGAAGAAGTGGTGAGGCATTGGAGCAGGGTGCCTGGGCAGGTGGTGGAGTCATTGTTCCCAGAGGTGTTTAAGGAGAGGGTACAGGTGGTACTCAGGGACACAGGGAGTGGGCAATTCTGGTGGCAGGTGGACTGTTGGACTAGATGATCTTAGATGTCTTTTCCCACCTAAATGACTCTGTAATGATTAGAGGTGTGACTGTCCTCCATTAGTGGATAAAAACAGTTCACAGATCTCTTGGGAATTGATAATAATAAGACCCTTGGATATAGAAGAAAAACTGATCTCTAAGAGGACTGAGGAATAGGTTTAAAACTGGAATATATTTCTGAAGCCAATTACTGGGAAGAAACTGAGAGATTTGCCTATGGAGTACAGAATTGGAACTTAAGTTATGCACACTGATTCAACAACTGTGCTATTTTTGGCTTGTGAACTGTTCTGATGGCTGTTTATTTTTAAGGTCATTTTCTGTTTGCACAGCATATACACCCTTCTGGTGGGTGGGAGGCATTATAAAAACAATCACTGCTGCTCAGAATTATGAACTAAACTCGAAGAGGGATGGAAAAAAAACAGAACTTGGTGTACTTACTACTTTAAAAAACATCTGTTTAGGTCAGAAGGCTTTGTTGACCCATTCCAAGCTGTGGCCCCACCGGAAAAATCCCATCCCAATTAACATAGATTACCACAGGGGATTGCAAAAGACTTGGGAAAACTCGGACAGAGTATAAACAGAAAGGAAGCATCAGGTTTGGCAGTTTCTTCCCAAATACTCACCTTCTGGTAGCAAATACAAGACTAAAATGTTCATCTCATGGCTGAAGAGTTGCTAAGAGCTGGATTTCATGCTGGCTGGCCATGCCTGAATCCCAGCATCTGTCTTTTTTAAGGCTCATGTAAAATAACAACACACTTCACTGACATTTTCTGGCTTCTTCCTGGTGGCTGTATCTTTATTCCCACACAGTCAAGTAATACAAATTGATTGGACAGTGGCAGTTTACAAAATAAAGTAAGAATGATTACTCTGAGCTTAAATTTTAAAAAAATCTAAATCTGGACACGTGGAATTCAGTGCCATATTTAGACCAGAAACTGGTAAGGAAATGGTTCATAACATTGATGGTGTATTCTCAGCCATGTTCCTTTCCCAGAAAATAAAATACACCATACAAAAATATACTAAAATTATTAACTGAGTTGGTGGAAATTGTCTGCTGCAATATAATTGCTGTTGTCTGATTTTCAGCATATTTACTCCAGCACTACATTATGACAGAAGTAAACTGTGTTTATTCAAATATTTGAATTTATTTTGAACTTTCAAGTTCATCTCAAATTAATTTTCTTGTGCTCCAACCCTGAAGATGCATGAAGGACATTAAGTTTGGACTTGTGCAACTGATACAAGTGAGGGAGCACAGGAGTGTTCAGTTCCTTGAGGTCTTTTTCAGGAAGGGAGTGGGAATCAAAATGCTGAACCTCTTTGATTTTAAAAATTCTAGAAAAATGCCCCAGATTAAGACTTGCTAAAAGTCTTCCCTGGGCAACTCTTTTTCCTGATAGGCTTGAGGTCATCAGCTCTCTAGCAATCTGGTGAAACTGCCTGGTTTCGAGATCTGGGGCTCTGCTCTTGAGTCAGCTGCAGTAAACCTTTTCCTTCTCTCCTTTGTATAAACATACCTGTCCCTCTTCCCATCCCTCCCTTCCTTGTCTGATATCACACATATCTGATATCACGATTTCTTTCTATGAGAGCCCCAGCCCTTTGATAAGCCTCATATGCATTCACAGTGCCATTTCCTTAGTGTTTCCGAAGTTCAGAATTCCTGGTGTAGAAGTCAAAGTCCATACCTATCTCACCACCCACTGAGGAGAGGCAGGTTTGCACAGCTGCAATGACAGTCTCTAAAGTTGATGTAAGACCTGTGAGAAGAGCCTGCCCTAGAAGTTCTCTGTTCTTTGCAGAGAATGCCTCATGGGAAGCAAAAGCACCAGTTTTCTGCAGAGCCCCAGAAGGGTCTGAAGGTCCCGTCACCTCCGAAGGAGGAATTCAACATGAGCAGGCAAGCGTATTTCAGCCAAGGATTGCTAGCTCCTTTTTTCTCCCAAGAGTATTATTGCTCCACTTTTGCAGACAGGAAGATTAAGGCACAGAAAGGTGAACTCACTTGGATCAAGACTGATCTCTAGTCCAGCCTCTTCTCTAAGCTGTCATTCTGTGCTTGTGTATAGGAGACGTTCTCAGAATGACCTGGGGTAGTCCATGACCTTTGTTCCCCTCGCAGACAGCACAAACAGGGGCCAATATCCACCTTCCCAGGCACGGCCTCCACAGAACACACCAAGAAGGACATGCATTGGAGGCCAGAAGTTGGCTTCCCAATATTGAAACACCGCTGGTTCTCAAGGAGGTCAGCTATGGAAAGATGACCAAGATACCTCTGAGGTATAAAACTCTGTGTCTGCTGGCCACTGGTCAACTTTGTAATCATCAGACTTGTCACTGTCATCACCGCTGGAGGGTTCGTAGCCTGGGATGGCAGAACGGTACCGCCCCGGCTGCCCACAGTCAGCCTCCTCTTCCTTCTTCTGTTCTGCCAGCAGCTGCCTGTAGCACAGGTTGCAGACCCTCAGGGGCTTGGGGGACAGCCGGGGCATCAAAAACCTCTGCCTGGAGCAGTCTCCACACACCACAAAGCCACACTTGCGGCAGTGGTGCCTTCGAGTGAGCGTGGAGAACTTGGTCTGTGTGCAGCGCATGCAGATGTCTGTCGCCTTGTCGGGGATCCAGGGGGCCGCGTGCTCTGTGGAGGGCTGCCTGCCCGTCTTTGTCAGCAGGTGCCTGATGCACTCCTCCAGATGGCTGATCCACTCCTTCCGCTCCGTCAGGGAGGCCGCAGAAACCACAAAGGACTTTTTTGAGGTTTTGATCATCCAGCGGTTCTTCATCTGCAAGGTGTCGGGCAGCGTCTCCAGAGTGACATCTTCAAGGGGAATGATGTGCTGGGAATTGTACTTCCTTTTGTTAATCACTATGCTCCCATACACGAGGATGTCATTGAACAGGAAGAATATGCGAGGCTTTGGTTTCTTGCGGCATTCTTTGGTTAAAATCCCTTCTCCCAAAAGGACTCTCCCTGGCACAGCTAAGGGTTGTCCAGAAGCCCCAAAGCAGTTTTCCACAGCAGCAATGCGCTGGCTGTTGATCTCGGTGTTTGCGAGGTGGTCCACCATCTCCAGCTCACCCTGAAGAGAGGAAAATAAAGAAGTGGTGAAGCTGCACTTGGCAGACCACCAGGACGAGGCTGAGCAGCGAGCCTGCGTGCACGTGATAAGCTTCTAATGTCAGTGGAGGTTAAAATAATCTCTTTTCCACTCTTCACATCAGTTTATGACCTTTTAGAATTATTTTTTCAAAGTTTCTGACTGCACTTTGCAACAATCTGGCCTGCATTGGGGTGGTTCCATTCTCAGCAATGGAAGCTCTCTAATACAGAGCCCTCTTTTCCGTTACAACCGTGCTTTTTACCAGTATATCTGCATTCCCATATGAAAGAAAGCAGACTGGCCTGAAATACTTCATACACGGGGAGTTTCTGCACTGTGACAGCTGGCGGGGTCCAGGGCCAGGCCCTTCTGTCCCTGCCAGCAGTGAGCACAGCTGCACAGGCGCTGTGCTAGTGCTGTGAGCTGGCTGATGATGGGCTGGATGCAGTGCAGGGAGAACATTTGTGGTCTCTGGAGCCAGTCTCCCATTTCTGCCTGCGCGCTTGTTTTCTTGAAGATTACCTGCAGATACACACCGCCCAGAATGCTGTTTTGGGTCAGAGCTGAGGCAGACTTTTGGAACCAAACAGAGTGCTCTACTGTTTGTTCCCACTGATCCTCCCTGCATGACAAAATGAAGAAAAAAGGAAGGAAAAAAAAAGAAAAGCAAAAAGGCAGCAGCTACATGAATAAAAAAAACACACAGCCAGCTCCTTCCTCCATTGCCCCAGCTGTGCTTCGGCTGCCTGTGCTTCCAGTTATAAGACACATCACTCTGAAAATAGCCTGATGTCTGCTGAAAGGGAAGTAGATCGCAGCATGCTTATCTTTCCCTGCACCTCTGCACCCTTGTTCTCACACAGCCCATGTGCTTGTGGTTTTTTAAAATGTACATAAAGGTAGCTCTGAAGCAAACGCTGATGTTGTGCTACTAATAGTTTGCAGTAAGAAAAGTGCTTTATGTTGTACATTAAATTTTTCAGTGCACCTAATTCCTTCTGAGTTTAATGGTACACCAAGACTATTCAGGCCTAACAATCCACGAGAAAGTGAGTCATTTCCTCTTACAGAGAGGTAGTTCAGCAATCACGAGGTAGCCCACAGATCACAGGGATCTGTGCAGTCCTAGTTTCTGTGAGCATTTCAGGCCATAACCCATATAGAACCTCTCGCCACATTTTTCCCATCTTTGAGTCCTTATAGCCAGTGTTGGAATGTGGGGGAAAGGGAAGGCAAAGACAACAACACGCTGAGTTCTGAGCATTTGAGATGACGATTTACATTCTTGTCTTGCCCTTCGCTCCAAATACCTTTCAGAATGCTACAAGGGAAACCGCAGAATAGCTGTTCGAGGTCGCTGTGCACTGTTTATGTATTGCCTAAGCTATTTAACAGACTGCTCAATTCTCTCTAGTCCCCAGATTTTTTTCTTTAGAGCAGGCCAGCAGTCCCCGTACAAAGTAATGGTGCTGGTTCAGCCCTGTGAGGGAACCTGAAGGAAATGACTCTGCATTAATATGTTTTTGTAAGTAGTGCTGTGTGACCAGTGCTTCTCAAAAGCTGCAGCTATTGGGATTTCTTTTCGATGCACAAAGGCAGCACCTTCTGCAGCATGGGGCTTGTCTTCAGGATACCAGCATGGCTTCCACCAGCCCTGCTTGCTGCCTGACAACCTTCCCAAGATTTGTCTTGCAGGAGCTGCTGGGATCTTGGAAACGCACACAGCCAGGCAAACCCAAGCTGACATGTCACCAAAAGAGGACAACCCAGGGTGAATCTTCTTCAATTAAAGGCAGGATGCCAAGGCCTCCCAATTCTTCCTGCAAGTATGTAAATCTTCAGGGTCCTGAAGTCCAGATGTGATGGAGCTGGACAATGTGAAACATACCCACTCGTGTGTGTCCTCCAGTGTGATGTGCAATTTAAAGCTAACCATAAGTTAAATAGTTACAAAAAAAGCATCTGAGAGATGGAAGTAGTATAAGAAAATACCTTCAGAGGAAGTCAAAGTGAGCAGCTATGTAGTAAAAAAGTGTGAAATGTGAAGGAAACAAAAAGGGGCTCCCATTAAATGTCATGCTTCCACACAGAGAGTACCTTCTTCCCTCTGGATTGCTACACACGTAAAAAGCCATGAGTTAACTAAGAAAAGCTAACTCCTTCTTGGGAAAATCTCCCTGCTACAACTAGAAGTGTCATCTGTTGCTCTAGGCCTGGATATTTCCCTAAGGAGTTCTCACAGGGAAGCAAAATAAAAGCTTTTTTCTTCCATTTCTATCCCCTCAGGCGTAATAACGTTCCAGTAAATAACTGGAGCACAGAAGTAAAAAAAAAAAAAAAAAAAAAGTGGGACTCACATTGCTTAACTTCAGGCTTGGACAACAGCTTCAGTACAACTCTGCACTCCCTGTTCAGCTGTGGGGAGGCAGCCAGCTGTAAGGGGTGGCTCACCCTGTCCCACCATGAGGGAGAGCAGCCCTGCCCCGAATTTCTACACAGCCCATGGCTTGACTAAACGACAGACAGATTCCATGTTAATAGCATGACTCACTGCAGATAGTGCTCAGCGCTGCTTTGGAATGGAACTGCTATGTATGGCAGTTTAAGAATAATATGGTTTCCTTACTATGAAGCATCCCTGCCTTTAGGAACAACAGTGATGTGGTATAAAAAGCAGAGCATAAATTGTATTCTAGTCATTCTAGTAGATATTTTTTTCCCTTTTTCATCAGGTTTGCTCTGTGACTTCAGATTGTGCTGCCTGTTACCGAGTGATGCAAATGCACATATGCCTCACATGGTAGAAGAGTGGGAAGATGTACTTTACTGGCATCCTACTTTACATGAGAGTTTTCAGCATGGCAAAGTTTCCATTCTTTTTTGTGTCATGATCTGTTGACTCTGCATGTGATCAAACATATCCAGTTTGTACAGTTGGTATTCAAAGGAAAAATACTATTTTGTCTGCACCCAACTTCACTTTTCAACAATGAGTGCTTATTAACTTATGAATATAAATAGCCATGCTGATGCTTGCCTGGCAGTACTCCCGGGTCACTCAGCCTGGGCTATGCTTTTGAGGCTGTATGCAGCTAAAGTGCAGGCAGAGCAACGCTGGGAGCAGTTCTGCCTGAGTCTTCAGCCCCGCAGCCAACCTGCGCGGACAGGTCTCGCTATCCGCAATCACACCAAGCGCTGGGCCGGCCCGGCTCTGCCGGCACCCGCAGAAGCACGACGCTCCGCGCCTCGCCTCCCTCCAGACTTCTCCCTCCTCCAGGTTCTGGCAGCTGGGAGGCCTCGGGACACAGGGCCGACAGAAGCTCCTCCCCACCCAGCCCTGAGCGCCCGGGGCGAGCAACGAACACCGCTCCGCTTTTCTTTTTGCCCGCTTGCGGCTCGCCTCTCCCTCGCTAGCAGCCGGCAGAGCCCCGGGCACCCGAGTGCGGTGCAGACCCAGCTGACAGCGGGCCGGGCTGCACAAGCACCAAAAGAACAGCAGCGCACGGGAGCACGCAGCAGTCACTCACCGGGGGACCGGAGGCCTCCGACCCTCCCGGTGCCCCTAAGCACGGGCAGGTGCGAAACGCGCTCCCGCAGGCTGAGCAACAAGCTTTGTCCCCGCGCCTTCGGTTCCGTGCTCGTTCTCGCTAAGCGGAGCGCCTCCACCGCGAGCGAGACGGCTGAACCCCCACAGCCCCGTGCACGGCGAGCCGGGCACGCCCGTGTCCCGAGCGGAGTTCACGTAACGCTCAGCACGGGCAGCGCGGCCGCTCGGGGCGTTCTTTCCCTCTTTCTTTCTCCCCCGCCTTCTTTGCAGCCCGCCCCGCTCGCCGCAGAGCCGCCGATGGGCGCCCGCGCGGACCCCGGCCAGGCACGGCGCGAGCTCCCGCGCTGCTTCACGCAGTCCCTCTCGGAACGGAGCCCCGCGCCCCGCGCTCACCTGACGCCCGTCCCTCCGCCCGCGGTACCGCTGCTCCCCGGCCGCCCTCGCGCCAAGCGGCTCCGCACGGCGACCGCCCCGCCCCGCTCTCCCGCTCCGCCCACTCAGAGCCCGCCGGCCAATGGGCGTCGCTCGAGCTCCGCGCGCCCCGGGGGCACGCTCCGCCTTTTCGACGGGCAAAGCTCAGCGCCGCCGGGGGGCGCTGTAGAGCGAGCACGCCGTGACGGCCTGCTGGTGAAGTCTCCCGCGGGCTGGCCGCGGTCACGTGGGGCGGCGGCGGCGGGGCGCCTTGTGTTGTGTGGCTGCGGCCTCGCGGGGCTCCGTCAGAGGCGCTGGCATCTGGCTGAGGTGCTCGCTGGCTGTAATAGCTCTTCTATTTTTAATGGGCACTGATGGACCTGTCAAAGTACTAGAAATGTGTTTTTTTCCCCCACAGTCTCCTTTTCTCAGGCAGCGGTAGCGCGGGCAGCTTGCAGCAGCTCGGGGCCGAAGCGCTTCGCAGTGCGGCGTTCCGCGCGGCCGCACTCCACGCGCCGATGCTGCGGGCAGTGAGGGGAGGCTGCGGGCCACACCGCCTCCGGGCTGAGGGGCGGAGCAGCTGCAGCCTGGGTTAGCAGCCTTCGGTGTCCTGAGCTGGCGCCGGTGCCGTTGTCTGATCCGTCGCCTCCGTTGTTTGCTCACAAGCCGCTCGTTTAGTGGTAGCAGAACTATCGTGCCCGAGTGGGGTGCAGTGGTTTCAGAGCAAGTAAAGGGAACTGCAGCTGCAGGTGAGCTCTGCGGGGAAGAAAAGGCCTCGTTGTCATCATAGACCGGCAAAGTTATCTCTGTGCGAGTGGTGTGCATGGAGGGATGAGCGTCGTGTCATCTGGCTGCAGGTGGAATCACCCTGTGGTACACATCTGTGAGTCTGTGCTGCGTCTCGGCACTGTGTGCTTCAAATATGCGGTGCTTCCAAGTCTGGCAGTGCACAAATCACAGAGCCATGCTTGGTTCCATCACTACGGATCCAAACTGAAAACGTTTCCATAAAATTACTAGCTCAAATACACTGAAAGCACTGGCAGCAAACCGGCTGCTGGGACCTGGTGGCTCCTCTCTGCCGAGGACGGGAGTGCCGACTTGTTGGCTTGTTCCTCAGGGCCTGCCTGCAAGGAGATTGCCAGCGATTAAAATATTGCTGAGAGCAGCCATGAGACTTGCTTGCTGCCGTCCCCTTTGTGTTGGGAAACGACATACAAGAAAGGTGCTTTTGTTTGTACAGCAGCATTGCTGTGTGGTATGTGAGCAGCCGCTGATAAACAGCTCAGCTCAGGTCTCCCTGCAGCTGTGACAAACGCTGTGCTGTGCAAGGAGCACAAAAACACTATTCCATGCAGATTCTAAGCTATCAAGTTTGCATCATAAAGAACCTTGCATTTGCTGTGCCTTGTCCCTCCCTACTCACATGTTCAGCTGTGTTTCTCCGGTGGTGCGCGGTACCACCGTGGTGCTGTACGCAGCCTTTAGGAAGAGCTGGCATACTGAAGAACCAAAAGTGACCAAAGAGGCCAGTGGCACAGGCTGAATGTAAATGCTGTGTATAAATACATCATAATGAATTGCTCTTTGGTAGGTTGTAGGAAAAAGAAAGAAAGACATCCGCGGTTGTCAGTGTGATGAGAAATGTTTCAAAGTCATTTTGTCTACACTGGTGTTTGTGTTGAGCTTTGGCAATTGTCTGCACATCTCGGTGCTGTAAAGTTGTGAGGTATTTTCCTTGCTCCTTAATATTCAGTGATGAATAATGGTAGTGGTGAAACAAGTAGTGGGAATGAAGGATGCTAAGAATCTTCCTGCTAAGCCAGTTTTGGTTTAATAGCTTGCTCTCTTCACAGTAGTGTGTAATTGTAATCACAGAAGTGGTCTGAAGGTCTGATCCAAAGCTTGGTAAGAGTTCTGATTTCAGTGGAGTCTTGGATCAGCGTGTAATATGTAATTCTATTAATATATACTGTTAAATATGGAGGGTATTTTATTTCTAAAATCTTCTTCATATGATGTCATCAGTGTCATTCTGCATGGTACTGAGGTCTGATGGAACTTGAAATTTAAAGCCACGAGCAAACCAGATGCACCAGCATCCTCCTGCAGGGCTGGGCCAAGCAGGCAGCAGGGGGGTCTCAGCGGGAAGATGCAGCAGTGATGGAGAAGCTGCAGTGGCCAGGACTGTGGGTGTGCTTCCCTCACAGTGCAGACCTGGATCCCATCCCTGCCTGCCCCATGTCACCTCTGGCTGCTTCCGTGTGGGCTGTTGGGTTTACAGCAGCGAGAGCGCTTTGTAGCTGTAGAAGTGAGTGTGAGAAGCAAGGAAGCAAGGAGTTGTGTTGTTTCAGTAGAGAAGATTCTTTTATCCAGGTTACTTAGGCTCAGGTTTTTTGGGGGGTTGCATTGCTAACTGTGCTTTCTTTCACTCTTAACAGGGTGCGTGCTGGATTGGGCATTGTGAGTCTCCACATTTCACAGAGAAGCTGCCCAGAAGGGAACTCGCAGCAGAGAACATTGCTCTGTTCTGTGGAGCTGCAGGGGTGAGTACCAGCAATGAGCGAGCAGTAAGCTGGGTGTGCTGCCCTGTCACTGTGTGTAGTGTTCACCCAGTGATTGCAGCAGATGCTGATTGGTATGAAAGAGGATGAAAGAGGAAAGTGAAAAAGAGGTTTGAGGTGAGAGTGTGAAATGCCAGAACCATGAAACAGAGTGGGTGTTTGGTGTGGAGAGAGGTGTGATGTTGGAGAAGAAACGTGAAATTAATAAGAAGAGAAATGTCTAAAGCAGCATTTTGCAGCACGCTCTGAGGGAGGACTGCATTTTTGGGTTTGACTGTCCTTCCCTAGTAATGTAATTCTGTGCACGTTGGTCATTCGAACTCTTCTAGTATTCCTGTTATATTTGAACAGTGATCTCATATTCACTGTGTGCTTTTGTTGCACAAGATAAACCATGGTGAACAATTAGGTGTTTAAAACAGTAAACTTACGTAGATAAGGCATTTCAAATATCAAAATGGAGAAAAAAGCAGAGGGAACAAGAGTGTGATGATCATCAGTTAGTTTAAAAAGATGTAAATGTGTTCACCTATGATTGACTGATAAGTCAAAGACACGCAAAGAGTTTCATTCAGAAGCCCCGCTTTGTGAGTGCATATAGATTCTATTTATGTGACGAACATGCTTTGGTCGCTTTCCTTTGGAAAACTCCTTTGGAACTGCTGCCCAAGCTGAGTGTGTGTGTTGCTCTGAAGGAAAAAATCATCTCTTTGTGAGGGATCCGTGCCTTGCCCCGCATCAGTGCCATTTGTGCAGGAAAGGAGCTGTCGTGGTTCCCTGGGGCATCTGAGGAAGTTCTGTGCACTGAGTACATACTGCAAAGAGTTCTGTGAAAGGAGAAGGAAAAAAAATGTAAGGAAAAAGTAAGGAAATATAGTTTCCCTTTGCGTTCTTCAAATAAAAGGGAAAATCAGAAATGCAGTGTTTCTTCAAGGTGTTGTGCTGATATCGTGGAAAGAGCATGCTTCAGTTTGGCTGGAATCTCTGCCCATCGGCACGTTGGATCTTGAAGTGGGAAGGTGCTGAGCTGAAGGAGGAGCCCCAGGGATTTCTTACAAGATGGAAGGCTTATCTGCTTTTAGGTAATGTCTCGCTGATGAGGTTGTGCAGGGTAGGAAATGTGACACTGGCCAGAATGCAAAGGATGTGTGAGAAGGATCTCACTGTAAGTGTGAAAGTTGTTGCCCACTTGAGAAACCAGAGGGATTTTGTGTGATAGGGGTGTGCAGGAGTTGTCCATATGCATGAGCTACCATCCTGCCTTTTTGGGAGTGGTGGGTACCTGCAAAGAGTTAACATTTCCTGAGATGTCTCTTTTTCTGGTATAATGAGATATGCAGAAGTCCTTATTTTGTTTTTTTTTTTGGGGGGGGGGCATTTTTTTTTCTTCCAGAATGAAATACTTTGACTCTAACCTCAGTCCTGAAGAGCAATTGAGGGGAGGCAGGGGAAGGCAGTGCAGTTTGGCTCTGTACCTTTTGGGCTGTCTGAATTCATTAGTTTTGGAGCCCGCCAGGTGCCTCAGCCTGTGTAGCTCCTCCTGCACCCAACCTGGGAGACTCTCTTACCACTACTGCATGCATTAGCCTTCATTAATACAATTAGCATAATATCAATTAGGATTCATTATTCCCTACGAAAAGATAAAGCCAGTAATACGTATCTCAGAATCAAATTCCTTAGCGCCTTGTCTTGGGATTGCTTTATTTTGGAGTTGTTTGCCTCTTTATATCCTTCCATCCCCTAGAAAAAAAGAAAGCCACTTAATTGTAAAACTGTTTGGGTCGGAGAAATGTGTGGAGATGATTCTTCACGCAGGCTAAAGAGGTGAATTGATCTATGGGACCCACGCGGCTCAGGCACCACTCAACAGTCGGAACTGCGAACTTCATCTTCTTCAAGCACAAAAGCTACTTAGTTTCCCCATGTTGAAGACTTTTTATAATAGCAATAAGACAACTCTAGAGAGAACCATCTAATATTAACTCCGGGGAGTAATCATCTAATCACAATCTGGGGGTGATTTGAAGCACTCATCTGGACCAAATGCCTCACAACACCCCAGGAGTGGTTTTATTGCATGATAGCAGTACCCCATTGAGCCTTATTGCTTAATTAAAAACAAATTCCCAAGTAATTTTTTTGCCTTTCCATAAAAACACAGTAGTACATAGCATATATAAAACATCCATTAAGTGATGGTAGATGCAAATTTACATTGTGAGATACAATGCTTTTCTTTACCACTTGGGGTTGAAGCTAAATGTAAAACCATTTCCTATAATCTGCGCACTGCTGCGTTTAGAGAGGAATAAATATGGAAAGAGAAGTTCATCGTAGGATGCCTTGTTTTTATTAAGTGATCTGTTTGGTTTCCTTACAAAGCAGTTTGGTTTCCCGTCCATCTTACAAACACAGCGGTCTACCAGCAGCATGGCCTTTGCTGCCTCCTCCTGCAGGCTGCCTCTGCTCGCAGACCTCTGCCAGTGCACATCTGCAGTAGGAATCCCAATTTCTCTTTGGGGTTTCTGTATCTTTCTGAGCAGAGAGAGCAGTAATGTGGGTGACGTATCAGGAATGTATCCAGCATACTGTACAGATGCTGCCCCTGTGTCCTTTGTGGGTTTTGTAGACTAACGCAGGTTAAGCCTAGTAGACATGTGGTAGAGCCACTTGTGGTGGTCCTGCAACCTGCACCAGGCTGATAGGGCTCCACCTCCCACAGTTTTACTGGACTTGCTGCTACAGCTGTGTCTGCTCTGCAGGAGGGCCAGGTGGACAGGTGGAGGGGCAGGAAAGTCCTTTTTGTACTGCTTCAGGATCTCAACCTATAGCTTTCTTTACACATTTACAAAGTGCTTTCATAGCTCCAAAGTGATCTCCAGATGTCATGTTCCCCAAGGATTCTAAGTGTTGTCCATGTATTACAGGCAGAAGCAGTAAGTCCGAGGTTTTACGTGATGGTGTCACAGATGTGTCAGTATGACTTTTTCTTCATTAAAAAGCACCCAGTGCCTTTAATTGGTGAAGATGTGTCTGCAAGTACGCCTGTCCTCGTGCCAAAGCCCTCTTGTGGCACCACGAGCTCTGGATGGAGGCTGACAATTGGATCAGTCTCACCTGCTGTGGGCTCTGCACAGCGCTGCATGCTCCTTTCTGCTTTTCCCCATCAGGGGCTGGTGGGAGCTGAAGCTGCGTGTGATGTGCAAGTCTTGCTGACGGCGGTTTGCAGCATTCAGTCATGCTAAAGAGGCAGCCTGCTTTGTCCTGTATTTAGGTTTTGTAGAAATTAATTATCTTTATCATTTGGTGAATGTGTTGCTAGAATGTCTTGTTAAAGAGATGTTAAGCGTTGTGGTGGAGGATTTGTTAAAAAGAGGTGTGGCATTGAAGTGGTGAAAAGAATGAAAGTAAAGCTCGCTGCTGCTTCTGCTGCCTGAGGTTAGTGAGGACAGTGCATAGCATAACAAAGTCTGTGTATTTAATCTGATCTGTAGCAATGTGTGACAATGCTGGCTCAGAAAGGGATGTGAAAGGGCCTGACAGTGTTTTGAACAACACCCATTTTTACCTGGCAGACTTGGGTTTATTGGGGATGCCTTTACCTTGCTGCGATCTGACAGCATAGAGCTGGCTGCTCATACAGCTGACATGGAGCATGTAGCCAACAACAGGAAGCCCTAATAAGTTTAATACCTTCAGCAAAGAATTTCTTGTCCCCTCAGCTGTACATCGCTTATAAATGCTCATTTCTTCTTATCATACCATGAAGGTGGCTCAGTACAGTGGGACAAAGGTGCACAGCAGCTCCCACAAGGCACTGCTGCAGCCCTGCAGTGAGGGTGTGAGGAGAGCTGCCCTGGAGCAGCACCTGAGGAGCGTTGTTGCAGTATCTCCTGCTTCTCTTTTTGCAAGTAGGCAGCAGAACAGGAGGGCTGTTGGCCTGCATTACACTGAGCAGAACCAGCTGTGCCCAGCCTTGCTGGCACCTGGTCACGCTGCACGTCTCACCGCATGGCAGCAGCACTGAAGGTTTGCAGAGCGCTCTCCTGATCTGTTCTCTCATCTGAGCGTACAGTTTTAAACTTTAGGACACAATAAACATTATATTAACATGTATTTGGCCTTTAACAAGATGAAGAGCTAAGAATTTTACATGGATGGTTCTGGGATATATATGACTTCTTCATAACATATCTCTTTTTGTGAGGGAAATGAAAGGTATGGTATTTTAGCAGTTGAAAATGCCTACCTTAGTTTGGTTTTGTTTCCTGATGACATTTCCGCACAAAAAGCAGTTTAGAAAACATATCTGTGTTAAGTAAAAAGCAGGTGTTACAGAAACATCAGAGGAAGGCGGCTGTCATAGGGTAAGGGATGCACCGGGTTAGCTGTATACATATGCACAGTAAAAAAAGCAAGTTCATACAAGGTGAGGGAGCTTTCTAAACACTGCTTCATGGACAGCTTTTCAGAGCAGAGCGAAAAAAAATCCCTTTAAAACTGTGAGCATCTGGCTCCATCTGCTGGTAGCAGAGCAAAATACGTCGTTCTGGGCTTGGAGGGAGGTGAGGTTTGTGTTTAAGATAGCTGCAGCAAAACCCAGCAAGGACAATCATACTAACAAATTAAGTGCCTGTGCCTCAGAACCATGCCCCTGCCCTGCACTTATCTTCCAGCCTCATCCATTTCATTTCATTGGTGGCTCCAAGCTTTGGTGTCTGAGGTTGTTGTAAAGATACCGTAGGAGTAGCGCCTTGTGCTGAAACTAACAGTAAGCAAATACCGCAAGCTTCTTTTACTGGGAAGCACAAAACAACAAATTCTGCCTGGAGTGTGTTTGATAAACCAGATCTTTTGTAGACATCCGGAGATTGTGTTTGCAAATCCCCCGCCAGCTCATTTTGTAGTCATTGTTACCGTCATTCAGGTTAATTCCTCCACTTTTTCCTTGCTAAAACACGTGGTACTTTATGGCTGAA